GGCAGCTTGAAGAGTTGTAGGTGTTGCATTTAATAGAAGTGATTTATATGGTTCTTTAATACCAGTTACAAATGAATTTATTGCAGCTCCTGGGTAAAGGAAGACTCTAGATTGAGCAACTACATCAGTAAATTCCAAAAGAGCATATTCTCTAAGAATATGTAATTTGTGCAAAATTTCGGTATGACAAGTCATATAGTCTGTGGCTTGGGATACATTTCTAAGTTCGTCAAGTAGCATTAATTCGGATTCTGAATCTTTGTAACGTTCTTTGAGAATTTATTCAAATTCTTGCCAAAGTTTGAGGATTATTTCGCACAATGATAGCAGAAGGCTTTCCTTGTAGTTTGGATTTTACGTATGATAGAGCATGAATTTGAAATGGGCCATATAAGGCGGCAACAAATTCTCTAGATTTACGTAAATATGCAGATAAATTATTTGATGCTTAAAAAAAAAATAGGCACACTATCTTTCAATAGGTTAAATAACATTTGTAGATTGTCAGCCATGGTTGTTATGATTTCCTCTCTAACGTTAGCTTGGTTTTTTACTGCTGATTGTCTTCTAATGGGTGATCGTTCTCGTACAGGAGATTTACCAAAAGTTTCTTTGACTAAAGACATAAAAATGAATTTGGCTTACACTAGCGTTATGTGAAAAATGAAATTTTTCATAACGGAGACTGCTCACAATGTCACACAGAAGGGACGTAGCTCAGCTCACCTGATGAATCTTGAAGATCTTACTGATGGTTGGCTGGGCTCGTACAAACTTCCAGATGTTTTCCACGAAGGCGTATAACGATCCTGTTCGCAGCGCCAAATAAGGAATGCACACGTCGTACGGTCAAAATAAAAGACTTTATTGCACGAACGAAGAGTGAACGGTTACAAGAATCGAACAAAATCTGCCTGGCCTCGATATAATTCTAATCCTTATGCTGGCAGTACACGCTCGTCGAAGCCATCCGAATGCGAGACTCCCCGATGCGAGGCGCCCCGAGGCACGAGGCCCGAGGAACCGTGTATACTCTCGCAGTAAACATCGAACCGGCTCCTTGTGTAGATTCGTGCGAGTGATGGCCAAGAACGTGGAAATTTGTGTAGCTGTAGCCTATGCTGCTTATTGTACTATAATATTTGCATATTATATCAACTCAAAATCAAGAAGCCTTGGAAGAAAAGAAAGATGGTGGTGAAATAGAACGAGGTAGGTATATACTGACATATTACGTAATTTGATTAGATTTTAATAAAGTGTTTTGTGTTTGATTTGATTTTTTATTTCGTTTAGGGAACACATACAGTTGAGAGAATTGTTAATGGAACCTGGTGGTGAATTTGAAAATTTTACTCGAATGTCTCTAGCTAATTTTGAGTATCTTTTAAATATAGTCTCACCAATGATTTCCAAAAAAGATACTTCAATGAGACAGGCAATAACTCCAAAAATACGGCTAGCAATTACTTTGAGATATTTAGCCACAGGCGACAGTTTCAAGAGCCTACATTATTTATTTAAAGTTTCAAGTGAAATAATGTCGCGGATTGTTCCGGAGGTCTGTGCAGCACTAAATGAGGCTTTGAAAGATGAAATTAAGGTAAATAGATTCATTTGCATTTATAGAGCTACAGTTTTATTATAAAATGTTTACATCTACATGTTGAAATGAGTAGTTTTCGAGTTGGTGTCTGTTTTTCCTCCAAAGGTCATATACAGTGCTTGGCTGATAGGATCAGATTCCTGTATGTGTTCTTCCATTTGGTCCTGGGCATGCTCGTTGATACCCTGTGATGAAGCATAGGAACAGTTATTGCTGTTTTGCAGATGTAAGTCGAGAATACGATAAGGAAATTAGCGATGAGTTCGAAGGTGGTCCATTGGAACAGGATGGCGTGGCGACAGAACCATGAGATGGATGCATTGCCCTGAGGACCATTTCGTTAATATCATGCATCAAGTATTCTCTTTGAAATTCCGGAATTTTTCGTAGTTTTTTCGCCAACATTCTACCGTATAAATCGCACTCGTCTTCTTTTTCATCATTTCTGGACACAACATTCTTCACCCATGAGAAGGCTTCCTTCATTTCACTTTCTGCTTAAAGCAATTCCGTAGGAACTTGGCGACGACGATATCTTTGCTGAGAGATTGGTAAGGGTGTTGGTCGGTGAGGTTTGGCTACAAGTGCTGCTTGCTGAGACTTAGCTGAGGGTACAACATTCACTACTTCATTGATTTCTGATTCTGATTCTTGAGATGTGGGCTCGAGGGTTTCGTTATCAAGAGAAATCTGAAAAATAAATACATTTTATTACATATTAACAATATTAACAATAAATGTAATTTCTTATCTTTTTGCAGATGCCGTCAACTACAGATGAGTGGATAGAAATTGAAAAAGGATTTAGAGATAATTTTCCCACGCCATTGGAGCAATCGACGGAAAACATGTTGTAATCAAATGTCCTGATCACACTGGATCAGAATATTACAATTACAAAAGAACCTTAGTATTGTTCTTCTAGCTGTAGTAGACAGTAAATATCGATTTATATTTTGTGACATTGGAAGCCAAGGAAGAATCAGTGATGGCGGCATACTTAGAAATAGTGTGTTATGGAAAAATATTTGTGAAAATAAGATGAATTTTCCTCCACCTTGCCCCTTACCCGGATTAAACGTCGATTTACCATATGTTTTCTTGGGAGATGGTGCTTTTGCATTAAGCGAGAACTTAATGAAGCCATATTCTGGCGATCATAAATTGAATACTCCCAAACGTATTTTCAATGAAACATTGTCAAGGTCTCGTGTATTGTCTGAAAATACTTTTGGAATATTAACTTCCAGATTCCGATTTTTCAAAAAGCCAATCGAATTGATGCCCGAAAAAGTGACGCAGTTAACAATGACATGTGTACTTCTTCACAATTTTCTTATGAAAAGTTCTAGTTCAAAAAACATTTATAACCCATCGGGCACTCTTGATAAATATGATAACGGCGTTTTTATTGAAGGGGCTTGGAGGCAAGAAGTACCTCAAAACTGTGCTATTCGATGTGTACCACATATTGCTCGTCGATCACCGATTAGTGCGACTAAGATTAGAGATAATTTCACTGAATATTTTGTGAATTTAAGAAACAAATAAAATATTGTATGACAAGTAATAAGTAATAGTTATTTTATTGAATGTACTTACCGTGTCTTGACTGTTTATGGGAGGGTGGCAGTCATATATTTGACCAAGAAAAGTTTCCATAAAGCTGTATGCAAACCATATAGGCTTGTAAATATCATCGCCCCCAGCACCGCTCCTAATGGACGCCTTTTTCCTTCTTAAGTGACCCCGGAAAGTGGCCATTAAAGAATCTTTTTTCTTCTTTAATTTTGCCACAGACTTGCCTGTAGATTCAGAGATTCGATTCCAGGCGTCAGCTAATTTCTCCTTTCTTTTATGATTTTCGTCAGAGGGATCCCACAAACAAGGTTCGCTCTGATAAAATTCCAAAAACTTGATAGTAAAATCATTTGTCCACTCCATTTTAAAAATAAACAATGTCAACCAATATAGCCGCAAACGAAAACATATCACGCCACAAATTCCACTGTTCAACAAGAGACCAGCGTGTGCCGAGGTCGCCGGAATATACCATGTCCACGCTCGCGAGACCTCCCACTTACGCTCTCGGTTCCTTTGACTCGCACTGGGAGACCGCTTCTACACCGAGCGCTCCGAGGGCGAGGCGAGAGGGTCTAGGGCGAGGCGGGAATAGTAAGTACACTCTCGTGCTCGTCTCATCTCGGATAGCCTCGGCGAGCGTGTACTGCCGGCATTATAGGAAAGATAACAAAGTTGTATCGAAAAAAAAGTAAAAAACAAATATTTCTTAATGGGCTTGCCGTACAATTCAATTTGTGAGAATAATGGGCTAATGGTACCAACAAGATTATATAAATTATATTGTGAATTTTTTTTAATATTGTTTAATTTGGCTCTCCATATACTATGTGTAGTCAAGCAAAACGAGTTCCGACTAACATCTCGGGGATTTGTGGCTTAGTCTATCATTGGTCACTGGCGCTCTTAACCCCCCATACTCTCTGCTTTATTGAGCTAGGGCTTAAATTTGCACGCGGCATAACAGCTGTTTTACATTGGCCCACCATTTGATGTTATTTATGGTGTTTTATTAATTTATTGATTAATGTAAGCAAAAAAATAAGAAAAGGAATCCCACCACCTCTTTCCCCTTATTCATAAAAAAGGCATGGCGAATTCGGTGGCGCCCAACGTGGGGCATTCGTCTTAGACATACATGGGTGCCAAATAATTTGTTGAGTCTTTTTAACAGACTTAAACGAATTTTTTTGATAGATTTTATTGCTTTATTGTTGATTTTATATTACCTGATATTGGTATTATTGATTATTGTACTTTTGTATTTTATCTTTTTTTCTCTTGTTGGTGTAAATGTAGTTTGTCTTCAAGATGGATTTTAAAATGAAATTAGTCACCTTGAGAAAGATATGTTACTTTATGAGATTTTAGTCCGTGGTGTTGCTGTTGGCGAAAGTAATACAGTCGACAAATTGAGAAGCACTTTACGCTCTCTATAAGGTTGAAAAAATCTGAAACTTTCCGCCATATAACCTCTAATTTTGAAAATGAGAAGGTACAGATCTGCTTATTGCTGGATGAGGCAAATGATACTATCAGTACACTTTCAGGGGAGGGCGCACAGACTAAATGTCTTACCACTCGATCTAGATTGGTCCACCTCCTCAACCGTGTTTATCGAATCCCTGATTCAATCCTTAGCGCAGAGGATGAAACTCAATGGACTGAACTCTTAATCGATGTTTTGGTAGCATTAGATTCTTTAGAGATGGTGTCTAGGCAAGATTCTCAATTAAGTAACCTTTTCAAAATTTTGATGAAAATTTGTCCAGAAAACTCATCTCCATAATTCAACCGTACATAATTTCCACCCAGACCTCCCATTGTCCAAACTATTACAGCCTCAAAACATAGAGAAATGGAACTTCAAATTTTTCGGCAATGTAAAACAACTTTCTATGCATAACAGTTGTTTCTCGGCACTAAGAAAGCATTAAACTGGTTTAGGGCAAACCGACATAGAGTCACTGATTGAGAAAGCTTAGCGAATTTGTTAAAACGTCATTTTGAACCTCATGATTACCGTTCCAGACTTGTCAAAGAAATCTTAGAAAGAACACAAGATACATTGGAGGGTATTGTTGATTATTTGTCCAGTATGCAAGCCTTGTTTAGGCGTAATGGTGATATAATGGAAGAGCTTCAATTAGATATTTTATCTAGGAATTTGTCATCATTTTATACTACTCAGCTCCCAGTTGTTCGTACCTTGGAAGTACTTGAGGTCGAATGTCTTAAGCTTGAGGTAAAGAAATATAGAGTTGAAAATTATGTACCCCCCACCTCGAAAGCGTCAACAGTTTGTCGAGCCCGACTTTGTATTCGTCGAAACGGAAAGTCCACATCCTTTTACCCTTCGCAAACATGAAAATGTAGGGTTACTTGTTGGAATTGTCAAAAAATAGGACATATAAATCGCAATTGTCCTGACCCGAGGAAAGCTCACTGTTATCGCTGTGGTGCACCGAATGTAACTATTAGGACTTGTCCCAATTGTAGTAGTTCGGGAAACGAGTCCGAGGAACCGTTAGGTCATATTTTTTCCTCCCACTCAATACCTTTAACGGCCAACACCCTTGATTTTCAAAACAAAATTCTTCTCGAATTTGTTGTTTCACATGCCCATAGAGATCAACGTCCTTACCTTAAAATGGACATACATAATGGATTATTCTATGTTGAGTGTATTCGATTCTGGTCCCAGTCGTAGATTAATTATACTATCAGGTTATGAAATACGTTTGAGCTTGGGTCTTAGGTAAATCAAACAACAAAGTGCATGTACTGTGGCGAATGATCAAGTGTGTCATAGTATAGGTTATATCCAAGCTCCTATAACCTTAATGAGCACATTTTCAATGTGGTTGTGCTCTCTGAGCTATCGCATAAAATAATCTTAGGTATAGATTTCTGGATGGTTATGGAAATCGTCCCTGACCTTAAGCAGGATGTTTGGCATTTTTTCTAAATCTAACGGTCTTGCACAAATCTGGTGGACAACTTAGTGAGTCAAAAACTTTCACCGATGGGTACAGGCTTTGGTTGTTGTAGGGTAGCAGAACATGACATTATTCTAGAACCAGTAATGAAACCGATCAAGCAACGTTATTATGCGGTGTCTCCCTACAAACAGAAATTTATAGATGATGAAGTTGAAGAAATGCTTACATTGGGTGTGATAGAAATATCGAATAGCCGTTGGTCTAGTCATGTTTCTCATGCCCGTAAAAAGGATGGATCATTTAGATTTCTATAGATTTCCGCCGATTAAATCTTGTCACAAAGAAAGTTGCGTAGCCTATTACGTATATTTGAATAGATAACGAAACGCTCGATCCATTAGTTCCATAGATATTAAATCTGCCTTTTGGCAAGTACCTTTGAGCGAAACTTCCCGCCAATATAAGGCATTCACTGTCCCAGGTAGCGATCTTCTTCAGTTTAGGAGGATGCCATTTGGTTTAACCAATGCACCCGCTACTTGACAATATATTGTGGATACAATATTTGGTCCTGAACTGGAGCCTAATGGAATGGTCTATTTAAATGACGTCATGATTTTGACCGCTACTTTTTCTGGACATTTACAACTTTTAGATCCAGTGTTCGATAGCCTCCGCGATGGAGAAGTGTCACTTCTGTAAGTCAGAATTGAGGTATCTGGGATACTTGATTGACGGTCAGGGTGTTCGACCGAAAAAGTGGAGGCTATCATGAACCTCCTAAGAATGGTACTGAAGTTCGGAGACTAGTGGGTACTGCTTCATGGTACAGACCAATTGTACCAGATTTCTCCTCACTGCTTGCCCCTAAGCTCCACCTAACTAAGAAAAACATCAAGTGGAACTGGAATCCAGATTGTCAGAAAGCCTTTACTGAACTGACCACCCCTATTTTGTCTGCTCCTGATTTTACTTATAAACCGATGCGTCAAATTACGGTTTATGAGCAGTTTTAACTCAACAATTCGGGGAAGGTGAAAAGGTGACATTTCTAGTTTTTTAACCAAACAGGAACTGAAACTGTGAGTTACGGAAGAGGAGTGCGTTGCCGTTATTTGGTCGGTCGAAAGGCTGAGACATTATTCAGATTGTGTACATTTCAAGGTAATTACATACCATGCTTCGTTGTTATGGCTTCAAAGATCAAAGCATCCCCTAGGTCGCCTTGCCCGTTGGCAATTGCATCTTCAGCGGTTCGATTTTGAATTAATCCATCCAAAGGAAAAGATCACATATTTCTCGATTTTCTCTCTGGAGCGGTACCCGTGCGTATCCATTCGGTGTTTTATTTTGACCCACCATCTTTTTTTTTCTGACGACTACCACTGATAAATGGTATTTAAAAATGCTCCAGAATGTTGAAGATAACCCATTTAAATTTCTTCTGTGGCGTACGAATAACAGCATACTTTATAAATTTGTTATACCATCATTCCCTAATATTTCTTCTCTTTCGGATGATTGAGAGGTAGTGGTCCCAAAGGACAAAAGAAAGATCATCCTTCAGCGCTGTCATAATGTTCCGACATCTGGTCATATGGGTGTCTTTATCACTTTTGGTAAAATTCAACAAACTTATTATTGGCCTAAGATGAAGGCTGATGTTTTAAATTATGTAAAACATTGTGCTTGTTGTGCCCAAAATAAAGTAGAGCAGAAGTCACCAGTCGGTTTAATGGGTGCACGTCCGGACATAATTGAACCATTTCAGGATTTATGTCTTGACTATATTGGACCTTTATCACGCTCAAGGAAAGGTTTTTGATATATCCTTGTTATTTCAGACTACTTAACTAAATCGGTTTACTTATTCCCTTGTCGATCGGCTAAAGCCAAATCCGTAGTTAAAACTGTGGAGAGTTTCTCTCTTCTTTATGGAGCACCCCTGTCTCTAACTTGCGATAATGGAGTTCAGATGAAATCTAAGGAATTACAATCCTCGCTACAATCCCACTGAGCATCATAACCGAGTAATTAAGACCATGTTACATACTTACGTCCGCCAGGAAAATCATAGGACCTGGAATGAAGATCATAATGAGATTGGTTGTGCTATCAGAACCGCGTCTAGTGAAATCACTAAGTATAATCCATATTTTATTTTATTTGGCACAGAAGATACGCTATATGGAAGTGATGTTCTAGTTAAGTTACCATCACAAAAGTTGATGTGAATTCTTCAGTTAGAAATCGTCAG